AACATGCTCAACCCTGTCATTCCCTCTGTACAATGACCCGTTTTCCATCATGCCTGTTTGCAATGGAGGTATTCCAAATGAAATCTGCCACTCTGGAACACAGCTCTGTTGTCTTCTATTTGTGTGCACTTGCAAATGAACCTAATACTGGGGTYGTTCGTTTCTAACTCTGAAGGCACTTTCTGTACCACTGGGAAGGCAGATCTGGTYTGAGCATAAACATTAATGGGATTTTACTCCTTCCCACTGTACATGTCCTGGTGCAGGATCTGTCCATGGTTAATCTGGCTGCTGTATAAAAGAAAACCCAACCAGTTCTAGACCTGTCTGCAGACATGTTCCTCGGCAACTGTTTATGTGATTTCATTTTTACTTACTCACAAAGTTTTMTTTACGATACGCTGCTATCTAATCCATTTTGTTACCTATGACATGTTGCATGCCTAAATTATAATGTCTGAGTTGCATCTGTTTTGTGGCGGATTAAAGGTGACAGATTTGTGCTTGCCCCAGTGCAGTGACATGGTGAAAGCACTGCTGGAGCAGGGCTGGCTCCTCTGCCCCGCAGCTCTGCCCCAGCCTGTTCCCTGGCATCCAAGAAAGATGACACCACTTGCCAAAACAAACTTGCACCTCACTGCCAACCTGCCTCAGGTTTTTGAGCCCTGCCCTGAGCTGTCCGGCCACGCTGCAGAGCCCCGGGTATAGGGACACCCCGCTGGGAGAAGCCTGACTGCCAGTGACATGCAGCAAGTCGTCCCACATGCCTGAGGAAGATTAGGGTASTACTTGAATGCAGTTCAAGATTCCTTTTCTACTAAATATTCTTCCTGACATTCCTCCTTGACCTTTTCCATCTGAGGAGTGAACTGGAACACAAGCCAGTGGCTGGCATCGGAGTAGATAGGRATGCTGGACTGACTGCTTGGCGCAGGGAGAATATAGATAAATGCAGGTATTGCCACCGATCTCCCCCCGACCGGGACATTAAACACAGCTGATTCTA